TTGTCTGGTTTCTGACTAGATGAAATATTCAAAGTATAGTTGCTTATATGTTTTATATATTTAGATGTTTAGAAGAGAAGGAGAAGAGATTTAAAAGATCATATTTTTCTTTCCTCATCACAATTGTACAACTTTAAACAGAAATGGTAAACTGAGTTTGAAATCTAGCAGGGACTATACTTAGTGTTGTTAAGAAGTATAAATATATCATGCGCCTCTGATGATACATAAATTAAAAAAAATATTATAAATCTATTAACTGTTGCAGAAAATCCATTGAAATATTTCTATCTTAACAACATACCTTTTATATATAACATAAAGTAAGCGTAATTAGGGATTTCATGTACATGTAATTCCTTCATTTCAAATTTTTCATGCATTTCCTATCTTAGTAAATATGATATTACCTAGAATATATTAGGATTTTCGAGTATTTCCTTTTTATATATATATCAAATACAATTACCTGAAGTAGATTGATTTGTTACAAATTATACCAAACAATTGACATATTATCACTTGTGACAACAATTAGCGTTTATAGCTAGGTTAACTGTCTAGTGTGCCAGATTTAAGAAATGTAACAACGTATGACCAATTTAAAATATTTCAAAATAATTGAAGGGCGTCTATCTTTATTCAAAATGGGTGGTAATGTCGAAATTTAAACTTGATCGTTACAGTCTTTATTTGCGATTCATCATTTGAAACCAGTTCGCAACTAAGTATTTGACTTCAGCTTTATCACCGTCAACTTTCCTTATTTATGAAGTAATATTCTGCTATCACTTGCATATGGGATTTATGTCTCCCAACTTATTCTATACTCAAAAGCATACTCTGAATGCGATCAATTTTTAAAACGAAGCAGGCTATTGACAGAAAAGTTGATTTTACGGGGATTTACAGAAAATTGTTTAAAGCCGACATTTCGTAGATTCTATGGTCGTTATAGTTATCTTGTTAGCAAATATAACCTATCATTGGGTTGTATTTTGGCTGACTTTTTTATACCAATTGTTAGGCTTGTGTTTTTAAACTTAGTATGACTACGGAATATCCCGGGGTGACCGGTCGACAGGGGATGCTTACTCTTTCTAGGCACCCGATCCTACCTCTAGAATTTTCGTTGATAGATAGTTTATACCCTAGCTGTTCATAGATTTGTATTGTTTGGGGATTTTTTTTAATCGATAACTATTATAATTATTTTCACCCTTTTCATATACATTGACACAATAAAATAGATCTGTAGATGGTTATTTGCGGGTTAAAGAGGGTTGTTAAACTCGCATATATTTCTCAAACGCAGATTAAATTTTGCTTACAGATATCTACAGTTAGCTTTTTTCTGTTTGATAGCATACAAGTAAAAATCACATATCAGTTTCAACAAAATTCAAGTAGAAGATTACAAGAGACTGTACAAACAAATATCAATATTCGCCTAAGTATTTGTGAGCATAGAAAAGGGAAAAAGATATTCTATTACAGCTTTTCTGAAATTTTCAAGATTTAAGAATCGAAACTTTATTAAAGTGAGAACACAGAAAGCAAAAACAAACCTACAATGTTCGTACATCATTGCTTTTGATGACTTAGTCATGGTCAGACACGGACTTACTAGAAGTGCATGGTAATTTGGCTTTAAAACAGATATTACACAAATGTTTCGAATGTGTTTTTTTTTTTTCATATTTGTACCTTTGTTTCGTTCCAACAAGTATAAGAATTTATAACTTTTCAATTTAAACTGTAAATGGGGGATAGGTTGCATTAACATTATAGGTAGTGGTAGATACTGTATTTGAAGGAGTTTGCGATCTCGGCGAGATAAAAAAATCTTTAACAAATAATATAGTACCGTTATATACCACAATGTTTTTGTTACAAACTGGAAATAAACTGAACACAAATAAAGTGGCTTCAGCTTGTAAGGAACAAAATTATCAAACTCTGATAAAAACATCAAATTACAGTTACGTTTTGTCAAATTGATGAGAAAAAAATTATTGTGTGTATACTTATATTTGTATATCCCTACCCGCTCCGCCCCCCCCCCCCGATGTGTTCCCGTTTTGCACATATTTGATAATTAGGTATAAAGTATAAGTATACAAGTTAGTATAAAAAACAAAGGCCTAACAATTGGCATGAAAAACGTCAGCCAAAATACGACCCAATGATAGGTTATATTTGCTAACAACGTCATTGTAACGACCGTAGAATTTACGGAATGCTGACTTTAAAAAAGATTGTTGAAATCATGTATCATCAACTTATCTGCCAGTAGCCTGCCTTAAAAATTGATCGTACTGAGAGCATGCTCTTGATTATCGAATAAGTTGGGAGGCGTAAACACCATATGCAGGTGATAGCAGTATATTACTACATAAATAAGAAACTGTGTATTCACACCTGATAAATTTATGACAAAAATTGGCAAAATTATCATTTAAAGCTTACATTTACATTGACTATCATCTATCATTCTTAAATAGCATGTTACCAAACAATCTTATTTTTATTATTGTGATTCATAATTGCGTTGTATTGATACAAAAAACACGTAGTTAATAAAGAGTTTATGAGGAAAACAATAATGGAATGTAAGAGTATTAAATCTTTATATTTGGGGTCACACCCTGAGACAAAGAATGCGAATGGTTAGCAGAGGAGTACACCAAAATATTAGAATCATGATGATTCACTTATCTTACAGTATCTTTCGGGAAAAAAAGGTTTTACGAGGGGTGTATCTTAATTTACTTTTAGTGTAAATCAAACCTTTATAAACTAATATTTTACATTAAAGGTCGTTTCATAAAAATCCTTAAAAGCAAAGATTCACTGAAGAGTTTAGTATTTCTCACAAAAAATCGACTGTTGTGAAGGAGAAACTTTTAAAAGACGTTCTGTGTCACAACATATCAAAGTGGTGTAAAGCAAAAGTGGATTCTAAAAAAAAAATCCGAAGACCTTTTAAAAAATCTGAAATCACAAAATTGTTTTTGGTAAAACTTTATTTAAACCTTCCTCGCGGTAAAATTTTTGACATAGAAAAAGTTTCTACAAATTTACAAGTACTCTGAAGTTGGTTTTAAAAAGATGCTGGAGTTCCTCATTGACAATACCTATGTAGTCTTTGGAGATTAGGATTCTTCCAACAATCTGTTGGAACTCCAGTGGGCACTAATTAACAGACTTATTTTTATATTCTTAGAAAAGCAAAATTTATATTTAAAAAACAAAACTTCTACATCAGAAAAAGAAAAATATCGCTGTAACCTTCAATTCGGCACTTAGATATATCAGTGGCGTACACTGTACTAACAAATATTATTTTCATCCAGTGTCGATTCAATATATATTCTAGTGAACTCAAAATAAAAAAAAACACCACTCTGCTTCACATTTGTGTATTTTACTGACTATAGACGTTAAAAGCTGGCTAACAACTGGACCGTATGATAATGGAATGGCCTCAGTTTTTCTTTCGTCTTTTTCCTATTTATGAAGTAATATTCCACTATCACCTGTATATGGGGTTTACGTCTCCCAACTGATCAAGTATACAATAGCATTACCTGAGAACAATCATTTTTTCAAACTTAGACGGGCTGCTGACAAATAATTTGATGTAACAGAGCTTTTAACAATTTCTTAAAAAGTCAGAATTTCGATAAATCTATGGCAGTGTTTGCAAATACAGCCTATCGTTGGTTCACTTTGACTGGCAGTTCATACCAATTGTTAAGTCATTGATTTTTATATTAATTTTTTTCGATATCTTGACTTTTTTCACCATTACACTATGGGTCCTTTTTTAGCAATAGGTCTTACAATTTTGAGTAGAAAAGTCCAGGAAACTTGTGCTTTTTTTCAAAAAGTTGTAAACTTTTTAAAGTTAATCAACAAAATGTCAAGATAAATTTATATTGTAAATTTCGATTACCTTGAGCGACGACTCATGAGAAGTCAATTTTTCATCACTGATTTTAATGTTTGTAATGTTAAACTCCTGCTTTGAAATACCGAATAAATTCCCGTTATACGGTATACATGTATTGCTGGAGTTGAGAATGAATTTCTTAATCTGTGAATATAACTCATTGTGTGAAACAAAAAAAAAAATAGAGTAAAGAAAACTATATTTGAAAGGTTGAGTGTAATATATTTCATCTAGGTTCTTCTCTACAATGCAAGTTACCTGCACATTTATAATAAAATTAAACAAAATAATTTCCTTGTCCTGGTCAGACACAATATAAGTAAATGTGAATGGCCTGTCAGACAGGGGCTAAAGGTTCGCTGTATCTACATCTGTTTGAAAAAAAAAATCCACCTATAAGGCACAAAAACACCAGTTTTGACACTAGCATGTTACAAATTACTGTTGTCCGCTTAAAACCTATCAAGGAAGCCATAAATGTTATTAGAACAGTAAATAAAATCACTAAATTTAGAAGAGTGTTGTAGCTAATTGTAAAGCACTAGATATTAATGATTTTATCTTGGTATATGATCATTTATAAATCAGTCATAAATGTTCACTAATCATACAATCCAATTAAACCAAACTCTGATACGTCATATAATTAGAAGGAAATACAGCTAATTGTGCAGGAAGGAATCATCATCTTTTACACTCGATTTAATTTTTGGTGAGTAAAAAAATTAATGAACTTAACGTTAACCATCTCAAAAGCATAAAATAAAAAAAAAAATGTACAAATGGGCTTCTTAATCTACAGGCTTAAAGGTTCATTCTGTTTTATTTTATCGTGAAATGTCATGTCTTTCCTGAATTTTTTTTTTTATGTGGACCAGCCATTTATCACAATGCGATTAGTTATGATCATTAAAATAATTGAAATATGGTAATGAAGGATCCTCGTGCACTCGATGTTAATGATGTAACATATTTCTGACAGTCGGGGATTAATTAATGTCGTCATTAATATTAATATAATTTTGATCTTTTCTTCGACAAATACAGGTATGCGGTGTTAGTGTAAGGATTTAGGCACACTCCTCTTTCGCTCTTAACAATATGAAGTTTCGGATTACCTTAATCTTTTCTTTAGGATGTCTATTTTCATGTAAGTATAAAATAATTTTGTTCTGATATAAAGGAATAATGATATATTTTTTAAACGGAATTTTTATTTCATTCTAAAGACTTTTGAAAATCTGAATGTTAAAAAAAAAAACGCTATAAATGAATGACCAAAATATTCATGGCAGTTTTGTTTTGTTTTTTAGACTCTTTTGTTGTTTTTTGTTTTCAAAGCTTTATTTTAGCTATTTAAGTTTTATATGATTACAGATAAAGAACGTTTCCTTCATTTTTTTTTTATTATACCATTAGTTTCTTCCGACCTTGTTGTTGAGCTAACTGTAAACAATAGAGAATTATTTCTGCTTTAAAAAAATTAATACAGAAAAAAACCAAATAAATAAATACTTTTTAAAAATATGCAATATACATAAATCGTCATTCTTACTGCAGTGAATTTCGTGGTTTTTATAGGTTGTAAAACTCAACCTAAAGTTATCTTATTGTAAGAGGATCTTTGAAGATAAAAATAATTCATTTCATATTTAAATTCGAATTTACCGGAAGGTATTTTAACAAAAATTACGTTGTTACACTGTGACGTCATTAAAAAAACTTCGGCAACCCGTCTGTAGCTTGATTTTTTTAAAAGCACAATTAGAAGTAAGGAAAAAATACCTTGTCCTTATTTGTAAACAAGTTATCTGTTTGTTGTTATTATTATTTATAGTTTTATTTGCCAGTACAGCCTTTAACATTAAATACTTCTAGATTAGATACGCAGTTTAATCAGTAAACCATGAATTCTCAAGGAAATGTTAAATAAACCCTCAGTAAGAAAATATCATAATAAGAAGTTAATCGGTAATTCTGATGTTGGTGTTCTGCATATGCACCAATAAGAATTGCTAATATACGTCATTTAAAATATCTCATTATACAATATGAGAAAATCAAATTTATTAGTACAAAATTATATCATTTCATCTGTTATAGTATGTGCATGTACATTTCAAATAGCATGTAAATGGAAAGGAAGATTTGGCATGTCGGACCTTTAAAAAAAATTACCATAGTTTCAAGAAGTCGTGAGTAATATTTTCAATTATGGCTCACAAATAAAACCTCCCATTGTTCAAAGAAACCAAACGCCCAAATAAAGTACCTCTTTTTAGCGTGAAATCCTATAGTAAAAAGCCACAAAAACGTTTTAAGGTGTGCAGTCCTTCTATAATTATTATGATTATTAGAATGTCAAATTCCTTGTCAGACCTCTTTCAAAAGAGATTTTATGTCGTTTCCGTCAAAGACGTGTTTAGAATATAATCATAGGATAACAGGAAAAGAGTTTTTCTACACAGGCCACAAATAAACGCCAAGATTTTGATGTAACATCATTAATTAAATTAAAAATTGAACATCAATTAAAGATAAAAGGCTCACGTTCTATTACCTGTGGGCTGATTGAGTATTAGTCTCTGATTCTTGTTAGCTATTTTTAAGTCTCAAATGTTATTATATTGCACTCATTGGGTGACATGACAATATTGATTTTTGTCAATCTCAATAACCATAAGTTATTTTCCTCCTTCTAATTTCAACACATAAATGTTCATATTTCTATTTTTTAGTGCGACATATGCCAATATTGTCTGATCATTTTCCGATTGATTCATTGGTTTAAACTGAGATATAATCAAATAGAATTTGTTCAGAGTTGAATGAATTTAAAATTCCTTTCTAATCAATTTGATCAAGTGAAATTCACCATGAGATTCGTTTGTATTGTCGGACAAAGCTCAACACATATACTTGATTACAATCCTTATAAACAAGGTACGCATTTGTTTTCACGAAGATTTGAATCTCAGCAACATAATACATCACTTTTCTCTTAAGTTTATCATAAACTCTTTTTCCTCCCAAAAAACCACTTGACATAAAGTAAGTTAGCTCTTACCGCAAATAATTCATTAAAAAATAATTACCGACAAACGTCATCTTAAAAGAGGATTTTTCTTTTTCAATTTATCGCTCAATGATTTATAATTTTATACCTATTGTAAATTGTTTCTTTTGAAAAAGAATAAAAGAAATGATTATACTGACAATCGATCAATTAAAATAGCGACAAGTTATGTCCAACTTAATTAACTTAACCGAATACCAATTAGGCAGAAATTCATATCACTATCAACGGGTCGTGTTTTATGATAATTGGTATACAAAAAGAATTTCGCGCCAGTGTTGGATGACATAAACAATAAATACTTTATAATTAGAAACAATACATTTTAAATTGTACATGATGAGAAACATAAGGCATCGTTAAATAAATTAGTAAAGCCAATTCACACATTAAAGGTGTAATATGAGAATGTGGTTTGGAAGTTTATCATGCTACAAGAGACATGCATTTCGTTTTTGTTTTACGCTGAATGGTGATTTACTAAATCGTTTCATACCATGCTCTAAAGTGAGTAGAAGGAAAAGACATCAAAAATATTTGCCCACTATTGTAAGAAATTAATACGTAATGCTCTTCTATTTGACCTTCACAATGGAATGGCTTCACCCTTAAAAAAAACCATGAAACCTCTGCTAATGTCAAAGATCATTAATTGTGTAGAGACAAGGAAAAATAATAAATTTACCCCGATCCTCAAAAATATATGTATTTCATATATTGTTACATTGTTAAAAAAAAAAGAAAGAAAGAAATATCAAGAAAAACATATTCCACGTTTGATTTTTTTTAGGTTTGTTTATAGCGTCATGTGAAGAAGGATTCTCACAGGTTTCCGTGTACGGACGCGAGAGGAGGGACACCCGCAGACGACAAGTGGACAGCAATGAAAGCGACGACAGGGATGATGACGACGACGATCATAGAAGAAAAGAATACTCACGCCGCTTAGCTCTTCAAAAAGTTCTTAGAAAGTTACGAAGGCTACCTCTGTCCAGACGCCAGCTTGTAAAGCTTGTGAGTCGACTTCGCAAGCATAAAAAATCAAACAAACCTATAACGATGACTGTCATTCGTGACATAATGAAAGACGTGGTCGGAAAGAAAAGTAAAAACCGCGATGTTGTATCCAAAGCAAAACAATCTGCAACACCCATGACAACTACAGTACATAAGGTCGAAAAGAAAACAGATAAAAACATTCCTTCCATAACTGACGGTCAGCTAGTGTCAGTTAAAAAAGCACCAAAGAAACCCGAAGTCGCGAAAGAACCCCAGCAAAAAGAACCTCCCAAAAAAGATATTCCTGTGGTATACCAACCACCTGTTGTGAAAGTTGAAAAAATAACTCCTCCTAAAATAAGTACACCTTACATACCTCCTCCAAAACCAGTGCAACCAGTGGTCAAGGTGAAGAAAATACAACCTCAACCTCCAGCTGCAACAGAAGTAAAAAGTGACGTACAAGTTATCCCTACGGCAAATGGAAACGATGTAGCTGTCGACACTAGATTTACTCCAGAATTGAAACTGAATATAAATAATATTCCAGTCAAATTAAGAACACAGGCACTTTTCCAAAGATTAAAAATTCTTCGGCAGCGCTTACACAATTTCAAAAAGCTTCGAGACAGACAAAATATTGTGAGAACAAACAAAAAAGAAATTGTTAAAACCTCTTTATCTGGTCTAGGATCACCATCTACTTCGAGTGTTGCAAGCGCGCAAACAAAAACTGCTGTGAAAGCAGTTGCCTATGCTTCAGATATCGAAAAACCATTCAGCCTTTCTTCACCAGGTCTTAAACAATCTTCAGTAGTAACAGTAGCACATGCTTCAGTTAAACCTACAAAACCAGTAGGTCTTTCTTCACCAAAACTTACTCAACATGTCCATTCTATCAATACAGACAAAACGGAAAGTGTTCTTCAAACACAGAATTATGACACTGCACCGGTCAATACAGGAATTTCAAATTTGTCACCACCTTCCTCTTCTGCTTTAGTTCCATCCGTTGAAATGACACAAGATGAATCTAGTCGTGTGAAAAAGATCATCATGGTGATTCAGCGTCTTGCCTCTAGGTCTGGAAGTAAAAAGTTACAAGTATCATCGAAAGCAAAAGACCTTCTAATTAAATGGGTCAGGAGATATAAAAATGCTATGAAAGCAAAACAAGTGCAACCACATGTGGAAACTAGAGTACAATACTCGGTTTCGTCCGGATTACATAATGTACCTATAGATCAAGTTGGAACTAAGTCTCTGCAAAGAAACATTCCACTGTCTTCCACAGCGGAACTGGCTAATCCTAACATGATGGAAAATGATGTTATTAAGCAGAAAATCGAAAAGAAAGCAAAGGATGGCAGCCCTAAAGTTTCTAATTCTATATTAGAAAACAGCAAAGGTAAATCAAATGTTTAAGAAAAAATGCATACCAATATAAATTTAATTCTAATGATTGTAACTATAAGTACACCTTTCTTCTAAAGATTTTTTTTTGAACACTTAAAAATGTTATTCATATTACTTACAGATTCTAAGATGCTTCTATTCTTTTAATTTATTCCAGATATATATATTTCTGATTCACCACAGGCGAAAAGTCATTTCAAAACCAGTTCAAATACATCCTCTAAGAAACCCGAGCAAACAGTTGTTGAAAATAATGAGCCGACATCAAGTTCCTCTCTCCCTAAATCTTTTAAATCAAATGCTAAAATAACATTTCCACTTTCCTCACAGTCGATTAAAGACGCAAAAATAAATTCAGATATTACGAAAACAGACATTAAAGCAGATTTTATCGAAACTAAAAAATCAGAGACTGAGACAAGCAACACAAACTTTAAACAAGCACTCAGGTCAAAAACAACAAAGGAATCACAAACAAATGAACTTGAAAGCATGATTAAAGAGGCTCCTAAGCATATTTATGCAACTTTCTTGCCCCCTATCATTGAAGATCCTTCTTTGAAAGAGAAACAAACATCTGAAATAATAGGAAAGAAAGATAAAGATTCAGAAGCACAAAATATTCGTTTAGTTGAAGAAAGCCCAGTCATACCACATGCACTACAAGAGAATAATAAAGAAGTAACAAACTTGGTTCAAACTCAACCTGATGGTGTTTCAATGAATTCAGAAACTCCAAAAGCCCTCTCAGGTATTCCTATACCAGTAGTCGAAAATGAAGTCACTACACCTGTTTTGAAACAATCGGTAGATACTACTACATCGGCCACAGTGCAAAGTTTTGGCGAACAAATATCTCACGATCCCTATGTTCCTGTCGAATTACCTGTCGATGAAAGCAAGTCAATTTTTCAGACCCCTACACCCTCTTTGGACACTGCATCTGAACTAAATACAATACCTGAAGAAACAAAAGTAACCCCAAATTTCCCCGATGCCACCACTGTTAATCAAGCAGGTATAAATAATGTTGTTGAAGCCAATCTTGACGAGTCTCCCTACAAAAGGCTGCCTTCGAAACAAACTGATCAACTTCAAAAAGAATCTCAGAAACATAATTCAAATACAGAAAACATAATTTCTAAACCTAACGTCATCCCACTCTTTCAACAAGAAACCAAAAACACGTTTTTCAAAGATGTAAATAAAACACCAATTGACACTACCTCTATCGAAAGTAATTCAATCAAAGAATTACAACAAAAGGAGAGACCCAATGCTGACGAATCTGTTTCAAAATCTAGGGATATTTCTGTATTCAATCAAATAGGCAAACATACAAACGCAGTTAACAAAATGTTTCATCATAATAATGATATTTCTTTCGACAAAAAACAAAAAACTAACCAAGGTCATCTGCTATCCGCTTCTCAAGAGCTATCTTCTAATACTGTCAATGTCTTTAAACCTTCGGCAAAAAATATTTTTGATAAGCCTTTATCAAAATCCATACCCGATTTCGAGAATTCAACATTAACAAGTGTTACAGAAACAAACAAACAATCTGCTTCACACATTGAAGTACATCATGGTGGTGAAAACCAGTTTATTCCACCGCCTCCCCCACCACCGCTATCATTCAGTACAACAGTTACAAAAACAAACGAACAACCGATATCACGGTCTGTAAGTAATGTTGAGGAAAATCAGTACATTCCACCACCGCCAACCTCACCAAGAAAAACAGACAATCTTCCAACCTTGTCCAAAGAGAACCCGAACATTAAACTCTCCCTTCCAGGTGTGGTCATTGAATCATCTTTTCTTGATTCTAAAGTCACTGGAAATGTGCAACAGGCACCACAATCAAGTGTTGAGAATACAGTAAAGGAAATCCCCTCTGCATCAACAAAATCAATTCAAAGCCAAGGCAGTGCAGTAGTAATTTCAAATCCTGCTCCGGTGCAGAAACAAAATGAAATTAAAAAGGCCAGTAATGGTAATATCAATAACTTAACAATCAAACCAACCAATATTGTAGACATAAAAAGTTCATTTAATGACAAAAACATAAATAGAATTCTACCAAAACATGAACACATTTCTGATCTACCTCCTCTACAATTGCATTTCAATAATCAACCATCCATGGTTAAGACACATCAAATAGCTTCTTCCTCTCAAAAACAGTCTAATCATAACACAGAAAAAGTAAATATCCCAAGCAAATCATTGCCTAAATTTCAAATTTCAAGGACAAACGTTGCTCAACCCTGGAATAGGGCTAAAAATCAAAGAGCTTCCTCAACATTTGTAGTATCTCAACCCAAACGACCTGAAACAGAATTTAATAGATTGGGAAGCACGAGTTTAGATAAGGCCGCCATATTAAGAAAACTTCTGGAAATCAGGAGAATGCGAGAACAACTAATCGCAACTGGGAAAGTGAATGATAGGAGGCTCTCAGATTTGATTCCAAAGTCCAGGTCCTCAATTTCCAATACGAGACCTACTTCTAGACCACAACAGTCTTCTTCACTTTCACAAAATACTGTAGTTTTCTGGGGCGATAGTACTAAACCATCACTTACAAATCCATTAGGGACTTCAAGGGCACATCGACGAAAAAGGAGCCTATTGAGTGGCCATATGATCCCTGGAAACATTATGCCACACACAAATAATCAAATATATATAGACATGCCCCTTCATTCTCTATCATACGACAAAAAGCGAAGTAGCCGCGTTGATTTGTTCGGTGGTTTGGGATCTCCTTCTATTGCACACTCACATCCTGGACGAAGCAGAGCTGATATTGCTAATCCAGGTTCTTTGTCGCTAGGCCCTGTTCACCCAAACACATTTCATGATAGAGGAATGACAAAACTAGAAAGATTCTTTAGAAAGCCTGTATATTACACACCTCAGCCCCAAATGCAAAATATTGCCGCAGTAGTGAATAAAATATTTGCCCCAAGAAAATCTTTTCAACAACAACAACTGTTTGCTGGTAATTCACTTAGTACTTCTTTCTCAAATAAGCCACACCATAGACCTTTTCACCTGAATGGATCAGAAAGAAAATCCCCATATGCTGCAAAACAGACATTATCTGGTCTTCCTAAAAAAAGAAATTTTGTGGAGTCAGCACCTGTTAAACTAAGGACCTCTAACAGCCATGGAGTTCGAATTTCGGTTAGAAATGATGTCTCGGCAGGATCACTTACACATCAACATAATTCACTACGAATCAGAAATAAGAAGACCATAGATACATCATATATGGATAATTCCTTGTCATTAGGTATCAAATCACATGACTATTACTGACGATAGCCGCGCACGCACTTTGTCACCAGCAGTCCGCATGCGCGCAATTAATCACTGAAGCTGCATTTGTAGGCAGTTGTAACACTTGTGTGTGTGCTTTATTTTGTGTTATCTAATCTATTTAAGACACTAGAGCAGCTCGACAATCTTTAATTCGGTGGTGAATTCTTTATTAATCGGTGTTCTGGTTATAAATGATTCAACTTCAAAGGAAAGTGTTACAAATCCTCACAACATCCAACTGGGTACCTCCGTCTTGAGCATCGCATGTCAGAAAGAATGGGAGATGGAAGCTTATTAATATCCACAACATGCATTTATATTTGATATATTTTTTAATTGTGAAAGAAGTTTAAAAGGATTTTTTATGAACTGTAAATAATTAAACAATGATGCGTAATTCAGTATTGTATTTTGAAATCAGAACTTATTATTAATGATGTAAAAGAAATTTATGTTTATATATTCATTATTTTTGACCTATGTTATTAAAAAAAAGTTTTAAATTACATGAATTCCTTTGTTATCTATTCATGAATTTCATGGATCACGTAACTATTTCAGGACCTCCAAAACCTGACAGACCAAAATATCGAACAGTTCGGCGCATCGTTATATTACCCCTTCGTGCCCCTACTCCAACTGTGCCAACGGTTCGAAATACCAAACAAAACAAAGACATGGGTCTCAAACCTAGTCAATTAAACACTGAACAACAAAAAAGTCTGAAACAAAGTTCACAAACAGGCTACTTAACAAAAGCCAAGCCAGAGATGAAACCATACAAACACACTAGCGTCGAGTACAAAACTATTCCGTTAAGCTCCAAGACTGATGCACCCAAAGCGTCAAAATCTGAAACACATCAAAGCAATAGTAAAACAGTAGAGCAATCAAAATCTCAATACACAGAAAATAAACTGACCTCAATTACTATGAGTCAACATCATAGTGGGACACATGCACCAAAATCACTTCATACAGGAAATAACTTGTCTTTATCTCCGCCACAACACAAACAAAAAATGAAAGATTCGACTTCTTTCGTAAAGTTTGCATTTTCCCTTAACAGTCCTACATCACTGTTTATGAATAATATGGAAACACAAGCAACAAATGTTTCACCTGTGAAAACGGGTTATTCTGGCTCAATTTCCGCAGCTCCAAATAGTGTGCTGAGAGCAAGAGCTGGAAAAGACAAGGCAGGGCCGGTGTTAAGTGCTACTTCATTTGTGGGTCAAAAGAGTTCTAATAATGGTATTGTTTTTGAGGAAATAGACCCGTTGTCTTTAACAAATTTTATCCTGGCTGCGAATGAGGGTCCTTCCAGTGGCTTCAGTGGAGGTCCTGAAATATCAATGTCGACAGCTCCTATAAGACTGAGAGACAATACTGTGGAAAATAGCGTCGTGCTAGAAATTCCAGAAAAGAAGGATTTCATTGGAACGAGCACTCAGAAAGAAAAGAAAAGTGAAATCGTGGGTAAGGAAAACAAGAAACAGTATGATACCACATTGGCTAATCGCATTCAAGAGAAGGAACACCATCGACACACTGCCGTTAAACCCGTTTCTGATAAAACAAATCCGAAAACCAGTGCAAGCGTTTCTCCTTCACATCACTTAAGAACTTCCCAAACCAGCCATAGACCCAACCCATATACATTTTCTTTGTCTGGAATATCTCTAAGTAGCCATACTCACTCTCCAAAGACAACAGTGCCACATTCTGTGAAGCCCACCATTAAACCTACCCTCGGAGTTCCAGTTCTACATGTAACCAACAAAGCAGCTCAACACACTTCAACTCAACAAACACAAAACAAACGAGAATCTCTTAGTAAACATCAATCGATGCAAAATTCTCTTACAAAGCAATCATTAATGGAAAATTCTCGCCATAAATATCGATATCCAGAAATCATAAACACTGATCATCAACATACAGGCAATTCACGTATAAAATATCTACCTTTGAAAAACTCTCTCACTGGATCTCATATGAAATCAGAAAATAAATTTACAAAATCCCCATCTGGAGACTATGTTCACCATAGTCCATCTCTTACCTCTTTTAATCCAAGAAAGAGTACACATGCCTACAAAACTGTGGGACACAATTTTGACATCAACGACAAATTCACACCGAAGTACACTTACTTACCTCATACTGGGCATTCATCAGTGAGTTACACTGCAACAACCACACCAAGTAGTCGCATAGTAATGTATAACATAACAACACCAAGTTGGCAACACAGAAATTCTCTTTCTAATCACGTATCAGGAAAGATAGGACATTACAAAATGCAGTCTTTTATTGAAAAACAAACAAATGGATTATCTTTCAGCGAACACAACCAGCTTCAAGGACATCAAAATCAAGTCGATCGTTCAAGCCCATCAGTTGGAAGGCAGTCAACAAATACAATTACTCATTTCGATCAACAGACAGGGCATACTCTGCAACGTCCTGCACCCAAGGCATCTCCACACAATATTGAGAACACAATAAATTACTCGAAATCCTGGAACACTCAAAAATCATCAAACACAATAGATAACTCCAAGCAATGGTCGAACAAAGATTTATTGGTATCCAAACCACTGAATGCTGAAAGGAATTATCAAAATCACATCTCCAAGAGGACTGGTATGCATGGATTTGCTATCTCCCGGCCAATTAATTCAGAACCAAAACACTCATGGCAAATCACTCGGCCTACCTCGAGTCCAGGTATTCGCATAAGTCAAAGGACCCCCGTGGATCTAAAAAACACTAAAATACAACATGTAATTAGAAATAAAATATATAATGAAAGACAATCTGGATGGGCGACACCAAATCCACTACAAACACTCAAATCTAGTGCAATGAATAAAATCCATGCTACTTTACGCCAGCAAACAAAACCGGATATACGTTACAAGCAACACCTCCAGCACCCACAGGGCCATAGAACTGTTATAAAAACCCAGCAGCATAGTCACAGTACAGCTGGGTCAACTCTACAGCAGCCGACACAAGCAGTTACACCACCAACTCCCAGACATAGTCATCGGACGACTTTGGGTGTGACTAATCGCCCGCATTTGCCGGTTACTCAAAAATCTGCCGAAACGACGAAAGTTGCGTTCTTCTCAACGGGAACGGAGAGTTACGCTGTAAGTCCACAACTGCTGGCGATTTTAAGACAGCTTCCTGTTGGGGATCTTCCGGACCACAAGAAAAGGCGCTTAGAAAAAATACTCAGGGTAGAAAATGGACAACTTGAGGAGAAATCACCAGAGCCATTATCAGACGTTAACGCTTTAAATAACGCTATTCATGAGCAGAGTATAAAGAACGGAAAGGCCAGGCAATTCGAAGTAAGCCATCAAAAACTAACTTCCAATAATCTACGTTATGTTCAGCCAACATTTAATGGAGCAAACAATGAAAACGTGAAAACAAGTCTTGGTGCTTTCTTTGCTTCATGACAGTTTTGAAACTATTTCTTCGTCACAGACATTTTTTGAGGAAAACTGTGATTAGCCTTTTGGGTATTGGGTGTAATGTTTATTTAAAAAGCAATCATTATGTAATATTACTGGTATATCATATTGTTTTATTTGTATTGTTTCCTGTTATTCACGTGTGTTCAAGTTTTTCATCAAATATTTTTATTATTGTCATTTTAGGATGTGCCTTGTACTGTTTCTGAAAAAAAATTGACTAATAAACTTCCAAATGAAGTCTTTTACAAACTCGATTTATTTGCAAAAAGTGTAAACTTCTTTTGACCTAGACCCTATTTCCCTGTCGATGTGTAATTATTATACTGAGAATTTAAATTAACTCGTATACACCATGCTATCTCATCAAAATAGGCAATATTAAAATCATATTATTTTTGCTTTTCTGTATATTTTGGGCCATTCATCCTCTCTCTAAGTTGAAATCTTGATCATCCCTTGTATAAAGATGTATTTGTAAAGCATTTTATAAAGGTCTTTTTTTTCATTGCTTTTTAGCTCTGAAAAACATCGTAACTCTATCCTGAACCTTGCATATATATAAGTTAACATTATCATTAGCCCAAATTTTATAGATTTATTTCTGTTAAAATATAAGTAAGACCAGATATCTAATACATGTATTAAGATTGAAAAGTACACTGAAACAAATTTTGACATGAACAAATTAATACCTTAAATAGTTCAACCTTTTGATTTTTTCATTGAAAAAAAAAATCCTTTACCACAAATTCTATATATTCTAGTTAGTTGCAGTAAATTTTATATAACCATTTGAAAATGATGTGACGATGAAGAAGATTATATTTAATTTATTTTTCATTGTTAATTTTGAAAATGTTAAATTATGTTTCATATACAGCATCTTTGGTTAAAAAAAAAAAAAAAAAAAAAAAGATCTTACAGAATTTCAACACAGCCCTCCCCGACCTGAGGGGATTACCCAAGACTTCAGAATCAATGCTATATACTTAGTACTCCTCACTGAAGGGTTCGGTCCTACAGTAGGCACTCTCTATGCATGATGAAAGAAACACATCCTCTTCCATCTTCGCTAGCCAAGGGTTTCTGATCAGAAACTCTTGGCTAGTGAAGATGACCCTCTTCTAAATATGTGAAAAGTTTTACCCTATATATTCACGTTTCAAGTCATAGAGAGAGAGAGAGAGAGAGAGTAGCTGATTGCTGATTATAAATTTTGAAATACATTAATTTTATCTTTAAGATTGACTTCCTTCTATTTGGATAATTTTAAGATGAGTTCACATAATAATTTTAAATTGTAATAATGATTAAACAGTAATTAAACACTTAAAAAACGGTCCTTATTTTATTCAAATGGGACAGTATAGCAGGAATTTTATACGTAAAAGATCTTTTCGACCGCGAAGAAAAATTCCATGATATTGAACATTTCCTTAATGTACTAAGAATAAGTCTAATTATTTATGTGAATACTGTTTGCTGAAAAGAATTTTTAAACCTTTAGAAAAGATTGTGGATACCATTAAAAGCAAATTTATTAACATAGCAAATATAAATGTATACTTATTGCGAAACAAGGAGAAAACATCGTTAGATAAGCTAAGTTGTAAAATGTTCTATAACGCTTTCATTGCTCAAAAATTTAGTTAACCATACTCTGAAAATATATGGACTAAACTTTTGAATGTTAACTTTGAAGAACACAGAGCGCAAATCTATGCATCAAAAATTATTACTGTTAAGGATAAACAACTTGCCGAATTTAATTATAAACTTCTACATCACTTACTAAATAACAACAAAACTGTGAGTGTCTGGAACAAAAACGTTTCAAAATTATGCAAAAACTGTAATGTACTTGAAGATATTAAACATTTAATCTTTGATTGTAAAAATGTAAAACAAATATGGGATGCGGCAAGTTACTAGTGATACAAATATTCAGTGGAAACATGTTGTAATTGTTTTTTTTTTTTTTGGTTGAAAATCGAAATACACGGATTCTTAATCTTTTAATATCATATTATGTATTTTTTTATGCCCCCGTATCGAAGATTCGGGGGTATATAGTTTTTGCCCTGTCCGTCCATCTGTTTGTCTGCAAAAACTTTAACCTTGCCCATAACTTTTGATTGGTTGGAGCTATGGCTTTCATATTTCACATGTGTATTCCTTGTGACAAGACCTTTCTTTGGGTACCACCATATTTGATCTTTTGGCCTTGACCTTGGAGTTTGACCCAGTTTTGCAAAATTTTACCAAACTTTAACCTTGGCCATAACTTTTAAATTATTGGTGCTAGAGCTTTCATACTTCACATGCGTAATCCTTGTGACAAGACTTTCCTTTGGATACAAACAACTTTGACCTTTTCACCTTGACCTAGGAGTTTGACATACTTTTGAAAAAAATTAACCTTGGCCATAAAATTTGAACGGTTTGTGCTAGGGCTTTCATACTTCATATGTGTAATTCTTGTAACAAGACCTTCCTTTGGATACCAACAACTTTGACCCTTTGACCTTGGAGTTTGACCTTCTTTTAAAAAGCTTTAATCTTGGCCATAACTTTGAAAGGTTTAGGGCTAGGGCTTTCATACTTCACATATGCAATCCTTGTGACAAAACCTTCCTTTAAATACCAACAACTTTGACTCTTTGACCTTGACCTTGGTGTTTGACCTAATTTGAAAAAAAATTTAACCTTGGCCATAACTTTTGAACAGGTGGTTCTAGGTTTTTCATATTTCACAAGTGTATTTCTTGTAAGAAGACCTTACTTTAGGTACCAAAATAATTGATTTGCATTTGAGAGAGTTTAACCTTGCTATAACATGTATAAGTTGCCATACGGAGGCATCAGTGTTTCACAAACACATCTTGTTTTATATATAAAGTTAAAATGAAATTAAGGTTTGATAATAAATTAGAAACAGATGAAGAGGTTAAAATATATGTTAAAAACAATTTATTGTATTACTATGAAATCTATGTTTAAAAATAGAAAATAGACTAAATATGAAAGTCTTAGACTTCTATGAATTGTCTCTGTATTTGTGACTGATTCCTATATTATGCTTTTGTTACATTATTAGTATTATTTTAACTGCAGGAGGGGCCCTGTCCTTCTGTAGTATTGCCATAGGGGGTTGAGTATGGACTTTCGTTTGATGTGAGGTGAGACCCCTTTAAGGCACTTTAAATCAAAAATAAATTATATTTCTATGTATGTCTGGCAAAAATATTTATACATGTACGTATTATCATCACTACTACTTCTATTGTTATTGTCTTCTTTTCAAAGCTTTGTAAATGTATTGTGATATGAATTTAAGCAATGTAAAACCTATTGTCAAGAATGTAGAATGTAAATAAAGAAGTATTATTTTTTTTTAAAAAAAGTAATTAAACTTATATAGTAGTAGCTCTATAGTTCAGTTATCAGAGGCTAAGAAATCCATTTATTGAAAGGACGGAATACAGAACATCTTCTTATCCATGCGTGAAGAAGCAGAAAATACTAGTAATTAAGTACATTTTAATTTTTTGAAAATGTGCCGTCTACCTTTTTTTTCATTTTCCTCATTAATGTGAGAATTATATGGTCATCACTTTACGAAGTCATAAATAAAGTATACAAAGGGAGTAAACTCTTAAAAAGTAAAGATTTATCGTCATATTTAACATTTTTCATAAAATATAGAAACAGATCAAATTATCGAACCTTCTAATCTGCAAAGTTTTTAAACATTATTTTATCCTGTTTACTGATCATTAAAATAATAATAATCCCTCTGATTTAAAACGGAGTGAAAAATATCAAACACCAACAACCTATAAATTTTGAATTTACTGGGTGGCAATAAACAAAATTACAAATACAATAATCGTAAATATTGTATTTACCACCACCCGTCATTATTTACAATATGGCAAAGCTAACAAAGCACAGAATATTCCAATCAAATCTTGTGGTCATGTTAGAGTAATTGTATGTGGACATGAAGTGTTATATAGCTATCACTTTATGCTCGTCAGTAAAGAGATACTGTTAATAACAACTATGACTAGTCTATTCATTACATATTTAAGAGGGCTGGGTGGTTGTGGCCATTTTCAGACTGTACTGATCTCCTTTAGAAGAAGAGCTCCATATAAAAATATACAAAAATGATCAAATTTTAAAACTAAAATGTATGAAATTTTTCTTTGCCAAATGATAGCTGACAGCTTAAGATATCATATCTAAAAAATTAAGTTATATCTGATGGTTAATTTGTTGACCCCCCAGCCTCCTTAAATCTATTTGAGACTGAACAACTATTACTGATACTCGTATTAAATTTATTTAGATTTTAATCCTTACAACTTTGATTTTTTTATAAGTACTTTTATTAACAATCACTTAATGTAAGGCTCCCATGCTAACTGTATCATATATTCATAAACGGGTTCGTTTGGTTGGAAGATTTGAGCTCTTAGGAGGTCAGAGGTCAATAACTGAAGAAAAAAAAAACATTGAAAATCAAATTGGTAAAACATAGAACATTGATCTATATCAAAGGGACCTTTCACTTTGAGACGGGTTCCAACCTTCTAGTAGAGGAACTTGTCTCAGTCGTTTTGTCAAGAGAAAGGGTTTTTGGAGATGTATATGTTTTAAATTATTTTTGTCTCGGTGAAAATTTTGTTTTCCATCTGTAGGGAATATATCAAGAAAAAAATCATTGTACGATATCATTATTAAGACCTTCGGCTTAAATATGTCAGCATAAGAAGGATGCCACTGGGTATTGCATATAATCAATGTCCCGGATGATTTAACCTGTTTTAGCGGATGGATGATCGGGTTGAACTTGTCAAAACTTGCTAAGACATGTAATTTGACATAGCATTTTGGATTTTTTTTTCCACTCATGTGATTTGATAAGAACACAAAAACGATTTTTTGCCCGATAGCAGACTTAACATGCTTAATGTTGCTAGTATATAACTGTCTAACACCTCTTTCCTCTCTTTGCATCCGCTCAGTTTGAAAATATTCATCGAAAGACTGGTAATCCCGGAAATTGGAGTCACTAGCAAATTAAGTCAGAGTTTAATTTTCTTATTGACTACTGTTCAATATAACTGATAATACATGTTACTGACAATAATTATGATCACACGAGGGAAATTTTTTTCTTTTTCTTTTTTCCCCTTTGTATCAATGAAAATGATAAGTATATTTTATCAAACTTAAATTTTGATTTATTGATTCAGTCAATAAATTGTACAACATTCGTTTACAACACAAGTTTTGTTCAAGGCGGAATGGCATTTATAAAGGGGGCGTGGTCAAATCAATGTTATTGGTATTCAAACGTTAATAAACAGATAATAATTTATCAGTTTCTTTCAGAAACTGTTCTTTTATATCTAGAGAACCATTCCTAAAATCAGTTTCCATATATCTTATCCTGTTAAACTCATAACTGACAATAAGCATTCACAGTTTCTGTTTTTGTCAGTAATTGTTGAGCGTTTTCTTCAAATGGACCACATGAGCATTGTTTATTTATCTTTGTTTAAGGTTATGTTTTAAAAACTATGCGCTCTCTCATCTCTCTCTCTCTCTCTCTTTCTTTCTCTCTGGATGTGAAAAACTCGCTCTTGTCTATGAATTGTAAATTCAAACTCTCCGTTTATCACTCACAAATTGTTGATTAAAGCGGACTGGCTATGTTGAACTTGTGTGACAATAAAGTAAGGTCATTGTGTAAATTACACAGTTCGATCCGTTTTACCACGAGGCCTGGCTGTAAGTACATCATTTATGTCGTGAGAATTATCTATCAATCCATTAAAATCTTTAATTTTATTGATGTGTCATTTGCTAAGTTACATGTAGGACTAGTCATTTCCGCGTTGTGGAGTAGCCTTTGCAAGGCTCCTTAAGGAAATCTAATTCAATTAAGAATTCTTACTAAATTCATGCTGTAAATACCACTGATATAGACTGTCAAAATTTCTGTGTGCGTACTCTTATAACATTCCACGCAAGTTTTGAGTTCATCAACGCCACAAGAAAATCGAAAGAGATCATGCAAGTCTGAAAGAAAAAAAAATAACATGCCAAAAATGCATCAACGACACATGTTGTCAAAAAGAAGTAAATATCTCCAAGAAAAAAATTCTTTTCATCTCATTTTCTTTTAATTCACAAGTAACCACGTGAAAAAAGATACATTCAACCACTGCATTTCCATTCTCTTACCAAGATATGATCTTAGATAAATTAAAAACAGCATTGTTACTCCAGTGCAATAATGAAAACGAGACCTAAGGAAATTTTTCTTTTTTTCAATTCAATACACAGATAAATGCTCTATATAGAGGGCGTAGTATCGTGACCCCGGTCCATGAGAATATTTATGACCTCAGGAATCGTGTAATTGTCGCTCAGTGACTCAAAATCCGCTTCAACAAAGAGCAGCGCATCATCTTATTATTGGACTATTCAACTTGACTTAACATGGAGGGATATTGTATTTATATTGTGTTGTTTTTATTGTTTTATGGAAAAGCTCTTTCCCAAACAGGTACGTCAAATAAAAAAAAATGATAAATAAATAAAGCCTCTAAGTGGATATAGCTGAAATACAACATGTATACAGGATGGAATGATTTGAAATGCCCTTATCACATACTTTACTTAAGGTCAAAACTCCATTAACAGATAAACAATCTCGTAAAAGCAAAAACATTTATCTTTCGGGTTAAAATAACATTTATGGCGAATAAGTCAACAACGTACGTTTCAGATTTTATTTTTAATAAATGTTTTCCTTTAAAAAAAAATTCTTCAGCCGAATGTCAACTTTGACAGGATTCAACAAGATAAACTAGTGTAGAATTCTGATTTAACTACGAAACTTTTTTTTCTCTCAACGACTAGGGTTTTAGTATTGCTTGTTGAAATTTTGTCCTTCAATATCCCTCTAACTTAGCTATTTTGTACATTACCTGTCAATTTCGACTTGTAATCTATCACAATGCAGATGGCTTAACTGTTGTTATCACGGGAAACATGCAACATTGGGTGGGGTTCCATTGCTATACACGCTAAGTATTAAGCTTGTTTTCTTATCCTCTCGTCACTTTTGTCATCCACCTTGAAAATTTAAAGATTACAATATATTAAACAATATTTATATTAGATATCTCTACAAAACACCAAATTGTTCACTTCTAAAAAGAAGATTTTTGACATATTTAATAGATACCTGTATATACTTCTTACTTAGATAAGTGTATTTGTAATTCATCAGAGTTCAGATGGGGTAATTACAACAAGCACCCTGAGGAAATTGTTAGAGCAGTATATTTGCCCATCCTGCTCCAAAAAAGAGAAGTATTTAAAATCCATTCATTCATACTGACTGATTCTCGAGCTATTGAATCTGAAATGTTTGAGAATTATCATGTGAGTTTTGATAAATTCACACTTAGCTTGTACTCTACACTGTCGTCATGCTAGTAGGATAAATAAATACCCTTCTTAAATACGCTGAATCTACATGTTTTCCCGTTAAAGCAGGCCAGAAGAACATGAAGAGGGGCGGAGGGGGGGGGGGGGTCAGGGAGGCCACCCCCAGTAAAGTATTTTGCAATAGTTAATTTTCATTTAGATGCTGGTCCCTCCCCCCCCCCCCCACACACATTTTTTTGTGCAAAATTTCCAGGGTTTGGACAGGGTTTGTTTGCTTGTCAGACTTGTTTGTTGAAGGTTGCCCCCCCCCCCCCCCCAATTTTAAAACCCGTGCTACGGGCCTGTAAAGGGTGTAATAACTGTAATAATATTTGTATAATAACTGAATAACTGGAAAAATGGTCTTAATACCATTTGGCAATTACGTATTACGTCATGGACTTTTTGAAAGTAAATTTAGCATATTTGAAAGGAGGGGAAAGGGGAGGGTATTTGGTATTGCAAGTCAGTGTGACTACATTGTATAGTGCTAACACATTACAAATTCGCAAAATTCTTTGACTCATAGTTTCAAGAACAAAACTCTTTGAATGTATGCATCGTCAAGATTTGTGGGAGCAAAAAGTGGTGCACGCATTGCCACAGCAATACTCTCAGAGTAGTTGCTTTATTATAAAGAAACACCCAAATCCTTTATTTAATCAGAAGATTAATGTTATAAAGACGGATAGCCATTAAATAGCAATCAACAGAAAACCATCTTGTCTTTGGTGAGCATTCCAAAAATAAAAGTGCTTCGAAAATAAACTCATCTATTACAATCAAGTATTACCACAGATCTATCGTATGGATGTTATAACCCCCCACACCCCCACACCACCACCACCACCACACACGCAAACCTGATGAATTCTTCAAGACACAATAACTTACCAAACATGACTTCCTTTTAGATCATATCTGATTTTGCTAAGCTTGCCCGGTATACAAAATTTACTGGTAGAAGGGCAGTCTCCAAAATACATAAAATATCAGAATGTAGGTCGGTTAAGATGGGGTTACACCATTCATACGTTATGCGTAGCTAGCCAGGGTGGAAGTGAAGTGTACGCAGAAAATGGCAATCATATTCTTGTGAATCACAGCCTTCAATGATGTGATTTATATTAAATTTCTCAAAGATCTTCAAAGAAATTTATCAATGTGTTATAGAAAAATTACAAACTAATGAATGTTTTATTTGGATTTGGCTATGATTTAATTAATAAAAAGATTTCTTCAGATTTTATAATAAAGACATGGTAATATAAAATTTGAATCGAAACAGTATGAGAACAATTAATGTGAAACACATATACATGTATTTGCTGGATGATATTGATATTTTTTCCCTAATAACTCTCTCTCGATCTCCCCTAGAATTTTTTTAAAATAATGTGTACGTACATGTACTTGCATATTTGCGTATAGGCAATAGGCAGCTACGTGCCTGCGTTAGTTTCCTGTGATATTACATGTTATAAATAATTTAATCCGAACGGGTATAACAATACACAAGATACGATCTAATATCAAGAGTGACGTATATTAGGAAATTATTCGATAAGCAATGAATAATAATTATAATATCTTTATATGCCATAGAAATAAATATTGAAATATTTGAATTCCCTCCTCTTAAATTTTATTTAAAGCGAGGGTAAGTTGGATCATTAATTTTAATTTCCATTTATTTTGCATCGTACTGGTGTCAAATATGACTTTTGATACACATGCTATCCTCTACGATCGTCGGAAATTAAATAATACTTGACTTCCCGTCGACTTTCTTCAATCTGAATTTCTTCTGTCTTCGAACATTATTTGGTAATTAAGTACGTACTTTTTAATCCTAGTCATAATTTGCGAGGTAGAAAAAGATTTTTTTGTCCTAATAAAACAAACTGATTTTTTAATATTTCGGAATCTTAGAAGGAAAATTATGACATTTAATCCAATCAAAAGTAGAGAAGAAAAAACCCCAGATTATTTAGATCCATGATCTTACCAATTTTCACAATATAAATCGTGAAATGACAGGAACAAACGTGTATATGGAAAGATAATTCACTAATTCATTCCATCGACCATCACCCAGTGTTGTCTGACTAAACTAAAAACTAAACTAAAGAAAACACTACTTAGTATACTTGATTTAAATGAGCTTTACATAAATCTTTGGGAAATATCTCTATGCAGCTTGAAGAAAATGTTTGAGGCACAGCTCGTTTTCCAACAAAGAGATTTATCTCTATGCCATGTATTTTCCATCGATTGATTTTGATTTTAAAAAACCAATTTTATTTCTTTCATAAATACCACCGGAACCATTCATAGACTAAACAAGTGAAGGGATTCAACTTACTATATGCATTTGAAATTTTGTTGAATTTCATCTTTAAGAATTGCAAAAATGATTTTAAACCCCCTGCCCAAAATATGTCTTTATATAAGGTTGAGAGTTAAAAGACAGCGATCCATCTCTCACCTGTTTTTTATTTCATTTATTTCTATTCATTGAAAAACCATCCCCCATAGAAATATTATTTTCCCTCTTTTTCTTCCTGCCAGTCTCTGTGGTAACTTTTATATTTATCTAGGTAGTTTTATACCTTAACCATAATAATTGTGTACCAAGTGTGGTCAGCATGTCCTATTTAGTTCGAACCTACAACAAAAGCTTAGTATTTTAAAATTGTTTTGAACATTTTCGGGGAAAATCTCACTTGAGATGTATAAGTAAAAGACACCCAAAAAAATTTGTACATTTATTAACTGGGAAACCTGCGTTTTGTCAGACCCGGGAATTTAATTGTTTGTCATAGACTTATGGGAACATTTTATCAAAACGAATTCTTTTCTGAGAGTCTCAAAAACATTTTGTTTTACCTTCAAAAGTTGCTTTCCATACAAATTTTGTTCTGACTTCCATGTTTGCTGATGGCAAAAGTTTTCTTCAGTTTCATATTTCTTAACATTTTTTTCAGATACAACATTTGTAACAACACCCAAAGTGGTCGAAGCCAAGCTAGGAGAACAAGTTGACTTCTTCCTAACTTACACAACACCAGATAATTCATCGGAATTCTCCGTCTCTCGTCTAAACGGGATGGAAGAAGTAATAAAAATTAGCGACTTAAACATCACCACAAACTCATCATGGACGATGAACGCTAATGTTCGGGTGAGTGTGATAGATGACAACACAAGAAAGGTCAACATAAGAATATATAAAGTGGACTTCCAAATCCATGAAGGAGACTACATGGTCAAGGTTGAAGGGTCAGACGGCGTGGGTGAAGATTCTCTGCTTATAAGGACTATTGGTAACTATAACACCTCACAGTTTCCTTAATCACTGATGAATCAGTTTGAAACACACACACGCTAAACACACAGATACACAGCTCTATTTTTTTTTTAAAGTATATATTGTTTCTTCACAGAATTGTGTTTGGGGGAATTTAAAACTGGACAAAATCATTTCAAGTACGATACTAATAAATACGTAAATAATTCTACAATATTTGATTTAAAAACAAAAAATTCAAAGAAAAATGGGACATTTGAAGACTAAAAAATGGGATTTTTCAGAACTTATTATTTGAAGGCTCATTAATTCATAGCTAACTCAGGTCAAAGTACAACATTTTATATGTTTATTACACACAGTATCAGTAATCTATTCTATATGTTGCTTTCAGCTTCACCGGAAAAACTACAACTGACTGCCAGTACAACGGCTGTCCCAGAAAAGAGTACTATATCTTTCCTATGCAGCGGAAATACAGGAAGACCTCGTCCTATTGTCCATCTGTTACGCCGGGATGTATACAACGGTACCAGCAATAGAACATTCTACCCTATCATGTCTGAGTCCAGTCCCAATATATTAACGCAATTAGAAAACGGCACGTTTGATATGAAACACGGCTTTTTTCTGACTGTACAGTGGCATGACAACTTTGCAGAGTTTCGATGTGGCATCTCTTACGACATAGGCCTTGGTACTGAGCTGCCGTCTGCTCAGAGTGATAGCGTCACCTTGAACGTCAGTAAGTATTCTGTATGATCATCTGAATGTTGAATACCATTGAAAAATGAAGATGAAACAAATCATATCCCCATCACCTTTATCATATGATTTCAACCAAAATTAGCCATAACTGAAGCATAAGTGAATTCAGTCCATTTACGTCACACACTTTAAAAAACGCACAGCAGAGAAAAACTGCGGTATACCAATGTCTGCATTCTAGATATTAGGTCATATATGTTAGGTCTTCTGTATATTATTTGAAACTTGACTAAAACAATCTTGAGCCTGATAATCATACCAATTTTTCTCTGACCTCAAGGAAGGACTGTTTATATCCTTGATGAATTTGTTATCCTATGCGGGATATCATGAAATATGTGGAGATAACGAACAGTATTCGAGCTCAAAAGTTCATTAAACATCACAAAATAGGAGCAGAGCAAACACGGACCTCTAAGACATCAGAGGTGGGATCAGGTGCCAAGGAGAAGTGAGCATCCCCTGCCGACCGGTCACACTCGCCGTGTGCTCCTTGTCATGATCGAGAAATCATCCTATTTGATATAAAACTTTGACTGTAGATCCAAGAAACACGTCATGGAACAATCAGAAAGAGGGGATGAATTCTTAAATAGGTCAGGCTTTCAAAGGAGGAAAGGTGGAATTTCTGATACAATGAAATCCTTTATTTTTATATCAAGACTTCGAATTTTATTAAATATTTAAAAATATAATTTTTATTTTGGAATTAGGCCGAGTTTAATTGTGCTAGCTTCTATGAACATAAATGTGAACCTAGAAAGTAACGATTTGTAAAGACTTGACTTTATCTATTCTCAAAGAATGTTTCATTAAAGCTAGGAGACCATGGCTTAAATGCGTCCTCTCCTAAAAACGTTTAAAATTTGTTGTTTAGAAATGCATTTGTAGTCCCTGTACATGTATTTTACTTACGTTTTTCTTTCAGCATCCAATCGATTCCTGCAGATTCAGGCCCAACCAACAATTGTAGAATTGGGACAGGATGGAGTGGCTATCATCTGTTCTATTATCAGCTCACAGCTAACTTCAGTATTTGTCATACAATTGCAAAGAAACATCACGACCATCTTTGAAAACGCTGCTTCAGTCAGTTTATCTAATGGACAGGCTGTTACAGCATATCAGGATACATCATTACAAGGCAGAACTACATTAACAGGTTCTTTAATTCCATCTTCTACAGCACACCTCCGATTATTTTTCCCCAGCAGGAATGTAACGTGTCCCGGAGATTTTACAGAGTATAAGTGTTCCCTAAGTGCTTTTGATTCATCAGGTGTTGTTAATCAGGAGACAGATCCAGTGAAGAAGTCTTTTAGAGGTATACACATGGATAGGCCTTCACAATCATCATCTGTTTGAATTGTGAAGCAAATCTCAAATAAGACGAGGTTATGTGATTATTTCCCGACATTTCTCCAATAAGACAAAATTAAAAAAGATTTTCAAAATTCATGACTTGTTTTAAAAAAAAATTGTCATTAAAAATGTCAGAAACACCTTGCATTCAAATTCAGATATTCACAAAAACATATATGTCTGTAAATTTGTACACTGCAAAGTTAAAGGCAATTTCAAAGTGCTCAAAACTTGTAAATATTCAAAAAATAATCTGAAGATAAATTCAATGTACAAATCGACCGATCGGAATTCTTGGGAATTCCGAATTTGCAAAGAAAAATCCCTCAGAATACCTCCTCGGCTACTCTGTCTTTCACTCAATACCCCAAAAATTCTCTCAATTTTTTTTCCGTTTTAGAGTTCATAGTTATATAAAAGCAGTATTAAATTATTGTATATTTCAGTTCAACCAACATTGATTTCGGTGCCAAGGGTCGGAATTCTTGGAGAATCTGACACTCCTAATAGACAATTTAAAGTTGGGACTGCGATACAACTGACATGTACTGGACAAATCGGCAGTGATCCTAGCGCTGTAAATTTTTTTCATCACTAAGTCTAGGAATAAATGTTGCAATTTTCCATATTTTACATACAGATGAGAAAAATGTCTTTGCAAAAGATGAATTTTGTCATGCTAGCTCATTCTGTAAAGCAGCGTTATCAAATTCGCAATTCCTTTATTCCTTGGTCTTTTAGCAATTTTTAACCTTTTTTGTACATTTTGCTTCAACCTTTGTTGGAATTCTTTTTGGAGGGGGTTCTTTTTTGAAAAATCATTTAATGATGAATATTTTATACCTGAAACTTGCATTTATTTTGTGAAATTCCAGACGATACGTTGGTGTGCTCAGACTGCCGGAGCATCGTCCTTCACGGGATTACCACAGATCCCGGTCCATTCCCAAGCCTCACAATCTACTGGCTGTCAGTACACACGTTCCAGTACCATCACATACAACCTCACCAGCAGTGATACCCACACACAATTCCTGTGTGAGTCTGGATATTCTATTCTTTGTGGAACAGGAACAGCTAAGCAATACATTAACATAACTTTAGGTAAGTAGTAAATTTTAATTACTGTTTCTTTCATCAATTTTCTGCAATTTCATTGGTAGAATACTGGTTTATTGTTTTTGCTCATGCTCTGCAGTGAGCCAAGTTTCCAGGTCAAAGGTAAAGGTCAGAACAAGTCTCTGTTTAAATGTTTGTCAAGAACATATTTACTCTTCATTAAATTTAGCCCAATGTAGCTCGAACTTCATGTAGAGAGCATCCTTTGACCAAGAATATGCCGTAACCTTGAAAAAAGTTTAACGAGGTTCGTTCCTAAGCTTTTGAGCAGATTTTTTTGTAGACCTCTATCTAAAAAATTCTGCATAATGTTTTAGTTCTTACAATAAATTTGGATTCTGCAATGCTAATTTAACTATATTCAATTAAAACCTCATGATTAAATTCCGTACTGAAAGCATTAAGTTAGGAACTATATTTTGTGGCGGAAGGTTTTATAGAGGAAAATGATCTATTTTTCTCATTCGAAATATTTACAGTATTGTTAAGTTTGGATTCCTATTTTTACATGCAGCCTGCACACAAAGTTATTTTGAGCAGTGAAATGTTTTATGCTGGTCCTAAATAATATATTAAATTAACCGTCATGAATTCTGTCATCATATTGGAAAAATATAACAAATATATTGTGAAAGTCTTGGGGAAAAAATAGCCCATTTTAGGCTAAAAATTAGCACTATTTTAGTTATATCTAAAAATTAACATCACATACCCCCACTTTTAATTTTATTTTTTGAATAAACAAGATAATTTTAACCATTCTGCTTAATCTCAGAAAAATGTCATTACTTTCAAATGATTTTATTGCTTGTTCAATTTTTAATGCCAGAAAAATAATATTTTTTGAGTGCAAAAAGGTCAAATAATTGACTATGAAACTTTTTTGTTGTCACAAATTTTAAGGAGACTAATCAAGATGAAAAAAGACTGTATTTGTTCCGATAATTTATTTGGATAAAAAATATTAGAGGAAAAACTTTGAAAAATTGATTTATGTGTTAGACGTAATTAAAGTGCAAAAAGGTCATATTAAATGCTCCGTAGCGCCGAAAGAAGCGCATTGACCTCCATTTTTTGGTTTTGATTTTTAATTCAGCTATGTGTCTAGATTCCAAAAATATACTTGATAAAAAATTCTCAATACTTTTGATAACAGGATCCAACCTCCTTAAGGTTGAAGGAGTTCTTTTTGTAAAATCCTCGTCTTACTTCTAATATTGGACAAGTTAATAAGCTTCATCCACAGAGTGCCTTGGATCAAGAACCTGTATGTTTTAACCAAGCCAAATGTCATTATAAAAACAGACTGTTAAATCATGAAACGTTGTTCATCTTTTGTTACATATTTCGGATAGTCATCAACAAAATTTACAATAAATTTAGGGGATTGCAGTTGTCTTTTATTATTTCCTCTGTTTTAACCTCTCGTAAAAAAAAAAAAAATGCCTATCCTTCTCCTTACACTAAATCCGTTTCTTGGTATAAAAGGTTATCTCCACCCTAACAAAAAAAATACTATAGTAAACTATAGTTAACTATAGTTCACTATAGTTAACTATAGTACCAAAGTAAAAACTTTGGAACTTTGATTTACTATAGTGAAAACTTTGGAACTTTGATTTACTTCAGTGAAAACTTTGGAACTTTGATTTACTATAGTAAAAACTTTGGAACTTTGATTTACTAAAGTAAAAACTTTGAAACTTTGATTAAGTACGATAAATCCTGTGGAATTATGTTTTTGATTCCCATTCTTTACATTTTATGATATTTCAAGTTTAAGATTCATAAAAGCTTTAGAGAACATTTTTAAACCCGACCCCTCCCCTAAAAGAATAATGTACAAGATATGAATTTTAATGTAAAGGTTGTCGCTTGCGCCGATAAATAAGCAATATTTATTTCAATGCATTTAATTTTAATGTTATGCACATGTAACGCAAGTCTTATTTATGGAGAAAAAATAATATATTATTGTGTCATTTAGAATCAAAATATCTGCTTCATTAACTTCAGTCAACATGTATTTTTTTTAAATTTATAAAAGTAAATATTGAATTTGAATTAACTACTTTGTATATTTAAATAAAGATGTACAACAAAAACGTGCCCCAACCAACCCAATATCCACCCCTCCCCTAAAACGACTAAATAATAAAAAAATTAATAAAAATACATAAGTTGTTAAACTATTAAAAAAAACTTTGAAACTTTGATTAAGTATAGGGAAAACTTTGAAACTTTAATTAACTATAGTAAAAACTTTCGAACTTTGATTTACTATAGTTAAAACTTTGGAACTTTGATTTACTATAGTGAAAACTTTGGAACTTTGATTTACTATAGAAAAACTTTGGAACTTTGATTTACTATAGTGAAAACTTTGGAACTTTGATTTACTATAGTGAAAACTTTGATTTACAATAGTAAAAACTTTGGAACTTTGATTTACTATAGTGAAAACTTTGGAACTTTGATTTACTATTGTTAACTATAGTAAACTATAGTTAACTATAGTTTACTACAGTATTTTTTTGTTAGGGCAATTCCAATTAAAGTCCTTTATAAGTCCCTTTTACATTGTTCCCCTACTGAAAGTGATATTGTTTGAGATGGTCACCATCTAAGTGACATCTATCAGTCTTCCATCAGTATCTAATCTCCTTTGTACAATCTAGAATTTATAACATTTTTCAACACATTTGACAGCTTCAACACCTCATATAAACTATAGTTTTCAATGTTTTTTTTAGCTCACCTGAGCCGAAGGCTCAAGTGAGCTTTTCTGATCACTTTTTGTCCGGCGTCCGTCTGTCTGTCTGTCCGTCTGTCTGTCTGTCTGTCTGTAAACTTTTAACATTTTCGACTTCTTCTCAAGAACCACTGGGCCAATTTCAACCAAACTTGCCACAAAGTATCCTTGGGTGAAGGGGATTCAAGTTTGTTAAAATAAAGGGCCACGCCCTTTTTCAAGGGGAGATAATAAAGAATTAGTGAAAAATTAATAGCATCTTTTAAAAATCTTCTTCTCAAGAACCACAGGGCCAGGAAAGATGAAACTCATGTGGAAGCATCCTCAGGTAGTGTAGATTCAAGTTTGTTCAAATCATGACCCCCGGGGGTAGGGCGGGGCCACAATGGAGGATCAAAGTTTTACATAGAAATATATAGGAAAAACCTTTAAAAATCTTCTTCTCAAGAACAGCAAAGACATGTTGAGTCATATTTATATGGAAGCATCCTCAGGTAGTGTAGATTCACGTTTGTTCAAATCATGACCCCCGGGGGTAGGGCGGGGCCACAATGGAGGATCAAAGTTTTACATAGAAATATATAGGAAAAACCTTTAAAAATCTTCTTCTCAAGAACAGCAAAGACATGGTGAGTCACATTTATATGGAAGCATCCTCAGGTAGTGTAGATTCAAGTTTGTTCAAATCATGACCCACGGGGGTAGGGCGGGGCCATGATCGACTATCAAAGTTTTACATAGAAATATTTAGGAAAAATTTTAAAAATCTTCTCAGGAACAGCAAAGCCCTGATTGATCATATTTATGTGGAAGCATCCTCAGGTAGTGTAGATTTTATTTTGTTCAAATCATGACCCCCGGAGGTAGGGTGGGGCCACAATGGAGGATCAAAGTCTTAAATGGAAATATATATTATAATATCTTGGAAGCATCCTCAGGTAGTGTAGATTCAAATTTGTTCAAATGATGACCCCTGGGATAGGGAGGAGCCACAATGGGGGATAAAATTTTTACAAAGGAATATATGGGAAATTTTTTTTGAACATCTCAAGTACAAGAAAGCCATTTGTTATATCGACATGGAAGCATCATCAGGTAGTTTAAAATTCAAGTCCCCCCCCCCCCCGCGGTGGTAATCTTTTCAATACTGAACTCGTGCTTTTGCCTAGCCAGTGTGCTCAGGTGAGCGATGTGGCCCATGGGCCTCTTGTTCTTTAATTCCTATAAAAACAATTTTAGGTAGAGGATAGATAATCTTCATTAAATGAAACTAAAAGCAGTTTGTCTTTAAAAGATAGATAGCTTCTGTCTTATAGTAGTGTGAATCATGATCAGTTGCATGGTATGTAATTTATTTTCATTGTCATTTTTTCACAGAGGGAGACACAGTTACAACTAATGCGGCGACAACAGAGAGTACGTACTGTATATGTAGTTTACCTTTAAAAGATTACCTAAGTTTATTAAGGTGACATATCGTAATTATATTTCAATTTGTTGCCATAATCTATAAAACAAAATGAAAGTAAAAAACTGGTCACGACCGAAGTATATCATGGCTTTTGAATGTGGATCAAATGTGAAATGGTATAGAATTGAGTCAATTGACTAAGCTTGTTTTTGTGTCATTCTGCTGTAAACAAACATTTTACTAAGGAAAACATAAATGGAAGCCCGACTTTCTTCAAAACTAAAAATTGTAATATCATTATCATCATAGAGCATATACAACTTGTACTACTTATATGATACATGTTTATATAGTTAGTAGTCCCCGGGATGCCTTAATAAGCTTTTGAACAAAGAATGAATGGTACCCCATCCCCCAGCTTGTCTATGACTTTAATCTTTATTGCATCTTTGGGATCATTGAGAATATAGTTTGTCCGTAGAAATCATCTGTTATCCCTTTCTGTAGTGAGTACAACTCCACAAGTAGAATCAACAACCAGCAGTTCAAATCAAGAGTCTTCCAAGACTGGTAAAACTTACCGCTTACACACACTTCTACCTTTTCAACATCTTTCTGCATAATTATGTATTTAGGGCTATTCTCATAAATATTTGCATTTACTGAAACACAGGAAGTTCCTATTTGTATTCATACACAGGTTTGTACTTCATTGTTGTATTTTTATGTTCAGCGTTAAGTTGCAATTTTTTTTACTCAGATTTTGTCATTATGCAATACTAGTATTACTTTATGATTCTGTCACTGTTTTAACTAGAAAATGTAAAGCAGTAATTCTTGAAAGAAATCATCTGTGATTTGTGCAGAGATTAATTATTGTTCATGGATATTTTGGTTGTTTAATTTCTAATCCATTTTCAATTTGCTTTTTCTGACTAAATCTTTAATTATTATTTAATTTCTTGCATTCTTCGTAAATTTGATGAATTATTCGTGTGAAACCAGACAAAAGAAAACTTTTTTACCAAAACATCCCCCCCCCCAGTTATCCTCATTCCATTTGTTTTGAATGTTTGTGTTGTATGTGTTCTAAATATTTCGAAATTATCCTGTTTCCTATTGTAAGTAAAACACTGTCTTCTTTATTATAAGCTTCGGCTTAAGGTGTTGATCTGTATATTGATTTTTATGAGATTATTTGAAAATCTCAGTAAATTTACTTTAAGATAATCAACCTTCGCATCCTTGACTTAAAACGAAACGTAAAACGGGCATTTCATTTTACTAATTACCATATCCCTGGCTGTAAACCCAAACCCCAGAGTTTGGGGTTTTGATGAAGAAATGTTCCAATATTTCCTGAGAGTTGAAATATTCAAATCATCATAAAGTCATATCTATTGTACAACTTGTACCAATCTTCATAAATCCCCCCCCCCCAGGGGTTGGGTGGGGATGTCCGATGCTCTTCGATACACGTTTATAATGCACGGTGGGTAGCTCACGTGGTTTTAAAAATGCTTTTATATTAATCATTTATTGCACATTTGGTATTCCTGTGAAGTTTGGATATACTTTATCCATAGTAGTCCTTTCCACAGTGAGCACATCTACAACTACACAAGAGTCAACAACCACCTGCACAAAAAAGAAGTCTTCACAGACTGGTAAACATGACACAACAGGAACATTAAAGCATTGTTTCCTCTTTTTTGCATAAGGGTTTTGTCCATTTACACAAGTATTTATAGAACATGTTATACACAATGTTCATATGCGTTTGAATTATCAGGTTGAAAACATCCCTGGTAAAGCAAGAATTTTTCATTTTATCGAGAAGAGACTTCTCCCCGATTTAACCATCATCAAGACATAAAGCGGATATCTAAACTCACAATTAAAAAAAAAATAGAAAAAAATAAAATATAATGTCTTGATATTCGGGTTATTTTTTGTTTTGCGATTTGGTTTATATCTAGATATATGCAATGTACATGTATACTGAGAAATTCTCTCTTTACCATGAATATTCCAAACCTGTTACATACGTTTTAATACCTGACTACATTTGTTATTTTATATGTAGGTTATTCCATTGTAAATCCAATAAAATTTTAATAAAAATAATGAAATATTACCTCATGGTACTTTAAGTTACTGGAATACGTAAGCTAGAATCATATCAAAAATATTCCATCCTGATTTTATTATTGTATACAGCTTTAAATTTGTTTATGTACCTTTTCTCAATTTCTTATTTTTTTTTTCAAAATCCCTTTTGGATTTCCCCCATGTTCCTTTCATATCATAATTTGTCTTTTGTTAAAATCCTTGCAGTACAGTACTAATTTTATTATATTTTTTCCGGAAAAGCGAAGAAAATAAAGCTGTAAACAAGCACTTTAAAAAAAAAATTAATTATTCTCACTGCATATCAGTATACATATTTTGTTGCATTATGATATGTTCTTAATATTTCCCAGTCATCTTACTGTCTTTTATTTTACTCTGTCATCCTTCAATATTGTCAGCTTTCATCATCATGTACCTTTCAGGTACTAGTATCATATTTATAAAGCGACCATTATAAGATTATTTGAAAAATTCTGCATATGATAATGATCAATTTTTAAAGGCAATCCATCTGTTCAGAAAAAAAGAAGGAATTGGTAAATGTTGAATATTTCATAATGTAGCATTTGATTTTACAATTTTAGCAATAACGATTGTTAGAATATATGTTGAAATACATAAGTAGTACTGTGAGGTTAAATTGCGAGCCTTTCGTTTCAGATACAGATGATATCGCAGTCATTGCTGGGGGCGTGGTCGGAGGGGTGGTGGTTCTTATCGTTATCATTCTTCTGGTCTATTTCCTGGTGCTCCGCAGAAAATCAGGTGAATCGTGTAAGTCATTTCAGTCCTTTGATGAAATCTTCTTACGATGATATAATTTGTCTCCAATATTCTTTGTGCAGTAATAAAAAAGTAAAGATATCTACATTGTCAGATCTTCACTTTGGTAAAAATCTTTTCACAAAATGATGTAGACATGCCAGCTATTAATTGATTAATGGATTTTGAATTGTCTTGAAACTGATTTTTAATGTTAATGTTTTTATCTTAAATGGTGATAAGTTTACTTTTTGTATAACCTTTTTGTACTTTCATACCTAAACATTTTGAATATTGTATCTGTGAAAGTAATATTCAGTAAATAAATTAAGAGCATTAATTTGTTAATTGAAAAAAATAAGTATTTTTTTTTTAAACTATCTCTTGCTGATTGTTTTCAAAGATGAAAGTGCATATCAATTTTGTTAACATACAATTAAAATCACCCTTTTCACCTGTCTGACATTATTTTTATCAGCGACTGAATCTCCTACTGGTAACTATACAAACATATCTAGTACATTACATATGCTAGTATTCTATAATGAAAGTTTTCTTGCAAGTGGGAAAATTTCAGAATTGTGGTTAAATTAAATACTTATTGTCTGCAAGCAGAAATGAATTACTGTTAAGTGTTTATATGCATGTAATGAAAATCATGTACGGATATGATGCAAAATGAACTGCTTCTTAATATTGCCTCGATATTTCAGACAGGAGTAAATGCATGATCTTTTATGCATGAATTAATGCACGTACATTTACTCGCTAAATGCAAACTTTACCTCATTTGATATCCATCCCAAATTAAGAATGAGAATGCCGGTTCTGCGGCTTTTTAAAGACACATTTCTAATTTCTTTCCACTCGACTTCCACTTGCAGTAGTTCGATGATTACCAATCTTGATGCGATATCGCATGGATTAATTAAAATTTACAACCTCTTTCTTTCATTCTTGTCATTTTTAAAATATACACTGTAGCATAGTAAGAATTATGCTTGTAAACGAAATTAATACGTATAGAATTAACTTTTTTTTAAATGTGATGTTTTCTGTCAGGATAAAGGTGTTTGCATTAACAAAATCAAAGTAAACTCTCAGTCTGATTCTCATTTATTCCTTTCAGACAAAACAAAGGAAAACGTTCCAGGGTAAGTTAATTTAATGATTTAAAGACATTTGATTCGAATTCAGATGTCTTTATCATGATTTGGTTCCAACAGTTATATCTAGTATTAGTGTTGATCCCTAAGGAATTTCATGTGGAAAGTAAATGAAGATGTACCATTTTATAATGAAAAATTAAAAAAAAAAAATGAATTAAAATTCAAGAAGAGGAAGCTTTTCAGAGATTTCTATGATATTTGCACCAGGTCTTGTAGAATAAAAGAAATTGTCCTTTAATTTCGCACACTAATAAATCATAACCAAACTATTGATCATTGATATACAACAGATGTTTACTTACTGTATGACTGTGTGTTTTAGATATAATGGACCATCTAATTCAGAAGGGCCTGTTTATAGTATGCCCGTCAAAAACAACAACGTCCCTGAAAAACAGGTGAGGTGACCTTTGGACTCTTATAACTTATTAAAGAACTTGTCTTTATCTTTTCTAATTCATACATGTAGCAAATTCTTTCATAACTTTCATAATTTTTTTCATTCCTGCAGCCTAGATGTCTTTTTCTAAATTCAAAATTGTTTTCACACTTTTAATTTCTGCTTTTTTAACCAGTTGGTTTTTAATAAAAGCGATTGTATTTTAAAGATTAAATGTTATTTTATCTATGATTTTGTTTAGTTTGTTTGCTTGTTTTCATTTGGCCGTATTTTCTTTTTCTTTTTCTTTTTTTTTTAATTTTGTTTACTTTATTTGCTTGTTTTCATTTGGCCATATTTTCATTTTTTTAAAATTTTGTTTAGTTTGTTTGCTTGTTTTCATTTGGCCGTATTTTCATTTTTTAATACTAAATATTGAAAAATGTTGCATTATCTCAAGCAATGTAATTATTTATAACAAAATTATTATTATCTTATGCTTTTTTAATGTCATAAATTATATACGCCAAATGTGATTTTAAAAAAAAGTAACTCTCCTTGTGAATTTCATATAAGCATTCTGTAATATTTATTGGTATAACTTGAATGCTAACATGCAAGAACAATTTAAAAAATATACTAGTATGTATTTTATTTCAACTATATAGGAGTTGAAAGATATCATAAGCATGATATTAGTTTTGTTTTTTGTTTGTCTATATGAATGATGTTGTATGTAGGTCAAATTCGAAAAAATCATTTATATCGTTATGCAGTGAAATACGATCTATATGAAACCATTTGTATGAAATCTGAAAGACTTGCTGATATGTTGAAATTTATATTTTGAAATAGTCTTAAAATTTGGGAATTGGATTGCAGGCATATTATTTCAAAAGCACATTTTGTATCATTCTTTTAGTTTAAAATAACCAGAAATGTAAATTTTATATTCTTATTTCAATTATATATAAATATTGTAATATTCAATAATGTTGGTATTTGTAGCTTCTAATTAGCTTATGTTCCAACACTGAAATTTTAGAATGTATTATATATATCCTGGGTTGTATACAATGTGTTCATCGAAATACTCTATTTATCTCTTGGACATGAAATATATATTGCAGTCTTTCTTTTTATGTCAACATGGTATAAAAGTACCATATTAAGACTACTTAATCTCTGACTGCATGAGGAGATCCAGAGAACGAATCTTAACACTGCATGAACAAAAAATTATCACTGGCTTATCAAAATACCCCCTTTTAATTCCATGTAGAATATACAATGTATGTAACAACTAATCTTTTACAAACTAGGAGAAGCCCAATTTTAGAGTGATGGCAGGGTCATGCCAGTATGCCATGCTTCACTGTTACAAAAATTTCCGTTTTTGTTTTTGGTCTTCAGAAGGAAAACGATGACAAAAAAGACAATGACGAGGCAAAGGAGGAGGCAAAGACGGAACTCCATTACGCCGACCTTGAAATAACAGTCCGACCCCAAGGAGGCAGTATCAAATCCCAGTCCAAACCCAAGATGGAAGTCAGCAATACAGAATACGCTAGTGTTACATTTGGCAAAACTGCATAAAAACCTTAGATGCAGTAATCAATCCATTTGACCAAAGATTTTTTTTTTGTAATTGTAAAAAAATATATTGATATGAAACTGTACCATTAAGGATTTGAATGATTTTCTTTTAAAAATTCTTACTACCAGGTGTCTTTGACGTCATTTTGTATAAAATAGTAGGAAACATCAAATCCAACACAGTGTATTTACTGTATAATCATTTTCAAAGTTGGGGTATCTTACTTCGTGGAATTTTCCAAAAAGTTTTAGCCTCGGAAAATATGACATGAAGCAATATTTTCGATGATGACACGTTCGTCCGCTATATTGAAATCCCTTGAATGTGCATAGTTTAGCAATTCTCAAATATTGGTCCAAGCTAATTAAAGTCATTCCACAGTTCTTCATTTTCAATAACTATGAATGAGATTTACTTTTGATAAATCACAAGAACTTTTCAGTACAAATAAAATAGGACACGAATCCGTGATTTTTATTTCTTTGTTGTTGGGTCAATTTCTTTTTGTTTTAACTGAAAATGTAACGAAAAAAAACTTTACTTGTTTTAAAAAATGTAAGTTTTTAACTAGTTTTAAAATTGTAACTTGCAAAATTGAATTCCTGTGGACAGTTATCAGTAATTAATTCAGCATTATCAAGAAAAATATAGTTTTGAAGAATAAGCAGATGTATTCATCTTCGATGTCTTTGGCTTTTTAGCCATTTTTCTATTATTTCCAGTTGTCTTTCTCTTCCCCTGTTGAAAAAAAAAATGGTTAATTAAACCCATGATAGCTTGCCTTAGATATTTGCAGTTGACTGTGACAACCATGACTATGGACACTTCTCTAATTTCCCCTTTTAAGTCTTTTTTTTATATTTGTAATAAGATATTTCGATGCAAAAAAAAGTAATACATTGTTTTATAATTATATACTAACTATTAATTTTGGTTTGAAATAAAAACTGTGTCAACAGTTCACTGGCTTAGACTATTTCTGTGTACTCAAATACTCAGTATGTTTGTCTTGGTGTTAAGATTTTCACTTTGTGTGTGAGTGTGTGTGTGGCTTGTATTGTGTTGTCTTTACTATGTTATTGACAGATTATGTTTATCTTTCGATATTTGGAAGTTAATTGTTTTGAATGTTTTCGATTTTTGAAAAAGACAAGGCTTACGTACGATGTTTATTGTGATAAAGGTACAGATCACTTTTATAGTTCAGTGTCCCGAATGTGTCTTTATTTTTTGTAAACTGAGCATATCATATATGTGAAACTTTTAAAAGTGCACTTTTGCCATTCTTTCACAGAGCTTTCAGTCAAGACGCCATTTTAAACTGTAAAAATAAGGTATAATTGATAAAAAACATTTTAGGTCAGATAATTCTGACACATTGTGTTACCATTGTGAGACTTTCGTGTACATATGTTGTTTGCAAATGTTACCTGTTACATTACTCTCTTTGATATTATAGAAAAAGAAAATGTATTTTTCCGACAGAAACATTGCTAAATAAAATCTAGAAAAACCTGAAAATTGTTCAACTTAATATTGTCAAACTTTATACAGCTAGAAGTATATGACAGACGTTTTTTGCAAAAGAAATAAAAGTTGTTCAAGAATAGTTACTGCGTTATATGTAATGCTGAATGTGCATTGACATTCATATCTTTGTCTTAGAATTTAGAAATAATACATTGAAATTAATTTTTAGATATAATTTTCTGCATTGGCAAATTCGTAACTAATAAAAATTACATTTCTAGAACTTGAATTAATTTAAAAAAAATCTTTTGAAACGCTAAGTTTTAAAGTTTCCCTTGTTATTGGTCTGGTAATCTTGCTAGATAGTAATCAAGGTGTGTTAAGTGTGGAGTTTTATGATTTATTTATTTTTTATAATATTCAATAAATTTACCGATTTAGAATATTCATAGAAACGTGCCTGTATTCATCATTCGTTGTAATGGTGTAAACTTAAGTATAATTCTAAAAACAAAACTTCTGCTGTAGCCACGTAAGAAACAACCCAAACATTACCAGGAGGACCACCAAAGCACTCCTTCTACAGGCCATGAAAATGAAGCCCTGGATGAGGAACATACAGAGAAAAGAGATGGTGGTGACAATAAACATGAGAAATATTGTTATACCAATGACGTGATGAGTGACGACCATGACGGTGAAGTAACGGCAATGTGATGCACGCCAGCATATTGATTGATCATCTGTTCAATGTGAGTTGATCCTTTAACTAATATAAGATATACAGGTATGTGATAAAATAGTAATTCAAAGACATTATCCTTATTTCAATTTTCCTGTGAAAATAAACAAAAAAATTGGGAAGTTCGGGTATTGTCTAGATATTGGCCAACGGATATTCCAAAAATATTTTTTAAATCAAAATAACACCACAGGTTTGAGTCTTTATATTGGCTTAGCCAGGAGTACTCCCGTACAAGGTCAGAGATCTTGTGTCTATTCGTAGAAGGAGGATATTTTGGGTTTCTTGCTTACAATATTTTCGCCAAAAAGTCTGTAAAATTAGTTTCAGAGGCCGTTTAGTCGATTAATAAAAAACACGACTCGGGGCTATATCTTTGATCTTGGAGGGGTGTTAATGTGGACACTAAAGTCAATTCTTGCCATTTTCCGGTAACAACATCAAATGACCCCTAGCAATATTATCAACTGACAGGTACGATTTTTATTGTATTTCATAGATGGAAACTATGACTCTGTCCACGGACATATTTACCACTTTTACAAGGGAGGATATGTCTGGCTAGACAAGATCAATACGGGTATCTACCAGAAAATAATCAGGAATATTTACACAGATTCAACTGTAAGCTGCAAGGCAATGATATACATGTATTACGCTGAAGATTAAAGTTTTTTAAATGCCTTTAATTTTTGAGTAAGAAGGAGATGTGTCTTGCGGGATCAAATTGGACAAAAAAATGTTAATAGCATTTTATGCAGACACAATTATTGCTTCAATTTCTTCTAAATTATATTGTACTTCTGTAGTATGACATTGTTTCTCAGTTGCAATAGACATGTACACAAAGTAGTAATTTAGTGGTTAACTCTGATTTGATACGTAATCACGTTTATGCATGATGTGATTAATCAAATAACCGATTATTTGCCTCGGTGTTTTTGCCATATAATATACCAAGTATCTATGATTAGATGTGTATATATATTTTGTTATATTATATATATTTTGTAGAATATTTTCATTCTTGATGTCGGATTGACTTAATTGATATGCTGTACATGTAGAATTACTTAAGATTGTTTTGTCAGTAAAAGAATGAAAGAATTGTAAATCAAATAGACTGGAAAAAAGGTAATCGTGGCTAAAATCAATACCGCAGTTATGAATATAATTTACAAAAAGAGCGGGCATTAAAATGAAATTCTATGAATTGAATGAATTGCCTTTTTCTTTTTCAAAGGCAATTTGTTCATCTTTTATAACATTTTTGTGATGAATGTTTACTAAGTAGAAGCTCTCGTTGCAGTAATCTTTATACATCTTTAAACACTGAAAACGTTTTTTTTTTCAAAATTGATCCACTCGTACCTATTATCATTACTTTTCAGGGTTTTTTTCAAATACATTGTATTAAAATACTGAAGAAAAAATAAGAATATTTTCAGGAAAATACATTTTAATTTGAGATTACTGATCAGGATCAAATAAATAATTTACACAGCTGCATTTTATTTTCTAGACAGGCGAACAATTTTCAAAATCATTTTTTGATTTTTTTTAATATAAAATAATTTTTATAGGTCAAAATATTTAGCAACAAGAAATTGAACTTGACAATAGTTTTAATTTTGCCTATTTCAACTGCGATACATAGTAAAATGTGTTGTTGTTTTTTTAATTTGGGTGAACAAGTGCGTAAGTTTACTTTTGTAGGGAAGTGTGTAAAAGGTTGAAATAGCATATGCAGATATTTTACCAGAAAATACCTGTCAGATGAGTTTCAATACAAATTTAAATCTAAATATGGCATTTGAAATTTTGGCTGCCTGGGGGGGGGGGGGGGGGGGGGCATTCGTGGCGTTACGACACATCTAGTTTTTAATTATCAAGCATAAGAGTGGCTTACAATATTGAACTTCTTCAGTTATCACAAAATTAAGATATTTGAAGAATTACAATATTTTATGGGAAATACATATCATTTGCCAAGTAAGATTTCAGAATGCATTAAGTATGCACATATATTTTGTATTGTAATTGTTAAATTATAAAAAGGAGATGGGTGAACTTTGCGTGCAGAATGCCTATAGCTTCGGATATATAAAAATGTGAATTTAGCACATGTATTAAATGGATTTATAAAATTATGATGAACAAAACTTTCCTGAGGAAAATTTTCAGGCAAAAATTATTCTGTTATTAGAAAAGAATATGGAATTCCTGGGGTTTCGAAATATCAAAGGTAATTTTGTTATAAATGAGATCTATTTTTCAATGTCATGTTTTTCGCATTATAGGCATTTCGTTCGTCTTGTTCGTCCATCTTCTCTCTTTTTTGAATATTTTTTGTGATTCTGTATGCTTATATATAGATATTAGATATTGTATGATTGCATCTTAAACTTTGTGAATTAGATATTGTATGATTGCATCTTAAACTTTGTGAATTAGATATTGTATGATTGCATCTTAAACTTTGTGATTTTGTAATTCAATTTTAGTCTCTGCTTGTACATTATATACATGAATGTGCCATGATCACTAGATAACTCAAATATCACCCCTTGAATTATATAATTATGTAACTAATACATTATTATCTCATTATAATTATACTATATATACAACTTGTTATCTGATTGGTTGTAGACAGTCACATGACAGGGCCATTAAAACTTCACTATCTCCATGCCGTCGTCATGCTTTTTATCATATTCAGTCTCTTTGGAAACCTCCAGCATTTTCCCGAAACATTTATCGTTTGTTGAACGAAAACTTCTGGGAGAAACAGACGACAAAATTTATAATAGTAGAAGGGTTTCATATACCACGCAGTGACAAAATTTGCGATCTTCTTTGCAATAAGGATGCTTAAAAACAGAAGAAGTTGAAGACAGTTGTCTGTGAAGTGACCAAGGGATTTCTGTGAAGTGTTTGGGTGACTTTTTTAAAACTGAAAGTGAATTTGAGAGCGGTGTGAATTTTACAGTATTTGTTTAAAAGCATGGATTGTTTCGGTAAAATAAACAATTTATTGCATGAACAACTGGGGAAACATGAAGATTTATTCAGCCAAGAAAAAATATTTTTCATGTCTGAATAAATCTTCACATTTCCCTAACGATTATGTTTGAATAATACCCATGTCTCTGATTGGCTGAGATCCATAAATGTTAGAAAAATACCGGTAAAATAAAACATACCGGTATCATCTTCCAGGTGAATATTATACAATTATGGACTCTTTCGGTGGTGAATATGGTTTGTTATTCACCAGAAAAATATCAATATTGACCTCGGCTTCGCCTCGGTCAATATTGATATTTTTCTGGTTTTATTATATAGTCAGGATTTTAATGAATAAGACATTGAAGGCTCTATGACGACTGCATTTTCATTACCGAACTTCTGTCGTAGAAAAAATTTACAAAAAAAATGTCCAAAATACAACTTCTAACTTCCGTGTTTTCCTTTCGCTGTGTGTAAGACATCGAAATGTTTGGAAAATAATCCTGCGATAGACTTGCCCAACAATTTTCCTGCTCAGACATACAGCTAGCTCCCGCCGTTGCAACCATTGTTTTCAACTTTGTGTTAGGTAATGATTGTGACGTCACAATGCCGCTGCACGTGCACTGACCCTCCGGTGAATACGGCTTCAAATCCAGTGAATATGTAGTATTATTATACCTCTACTGTTATTACTCTATATAAAATTAATACCATAAAACTGCCTATTTCCCTGA